TGTTGTTTGAATATAGGACCAGCCATGTGGACTTTGTCTTGCCTCAACAGCTCGATCATTTCAAATTCACTTTGAGCTCTCCTTGTTCGCACTTTGTAAAAATTTCTGAATTTTCCATCTTCTTCACATTCGGATAACAAATACTTTAACAGCGCATCTCGAAACAACCCAGCGGCCTCGTTGTCAAAAGATTCGTTAGAAGGGGAGGTTAAATATGGAGGCCTTTCAATCCAGGCTATGGTGAGATCCCGGTAGAGAGGTATTCTTTTCCAAGGGCGCGTTGATGAGTTGGTTTCCGCCAAAGAACGTCGGAAATGAAAACCAGCAATGCCAATAACAACAAATGCATGTATGTTTAACAAGTACGCCATTGAAGATCTATAAATGGCAATAAAATTTGTTTTCTACATTTTGAATCGACTTATTGGTAATTGAAATAAGTGTGGTAACGACCTCTTTTCATGCACTTTGCAGAAGCGATCCAAAGTTTTTCGTTTAAATGAAATATGCGTTAGCTCCTCATTTGATCAGTTGACCATACAACTTACGGCTTAATATTAAAACCGTTTTTTTGCGTGACGGTCCGACTTAGGAGGCGGTTTTTTCAACAAAATATCAGTCTATTTTCAGAAACCTTTCCCCTCGACGGTCATTCTGTTGTAGATTCAAATGCAAAGTCTAAAGTTTAAAGATACTTAGCTCATGAACTACTGTTAATTTCTATATATAAATTTTTTCTTAAATTGGAAAACATTCAATTAGAGTGAACCTTAATTTTCGCCAATCTTATGTTATTTTGTTTTTGGAGTACGCTATGAAATGATGCAAACACTATAAGTGCTAAATACATCCAGATTAATTTCCATAGTTGGTTTCGAATAAATACTCTATACAGAAATAAATATTTTACTCGAAAAAAATGCAAATGAATCTCCTTTGCCGGATCATTCTATCTTATCTTCAACGTCTAATTATTTTTCCAGGAGAGGAAATATAAACGTTGTTGTATTATTACAGCTGAAAGTAGGCAGATGTTTAAACGAGCTAGTGCTACAAATTACATTCATTGTGCAGTAACCCGTACGCTTCAAATGTAAAAATTTATTTTAGTAGTTTTTTCCTTCTAGATGAGCCCATTTAATGATTACTATATTTCAAATTCCTTTTGTAGAATCCGAGTGATGTAATTTCACATTTTTTTCAAATTGAGCAATATTTAGAGGTTTTTTTACTTGAGTAGTCATTATTAATAATGGAACGGGAATAGTTACCTTTTCACTCGGCTTTACAGTGATGATGTCATGAGAACCCTATCCTATCTCTTGCAAATAAATTAACACACGAAAAATTAAACTAAATGACAATTAAATGTTTGCCTAGATTCAAACAGATTAAGTTCACGACAAAAATTATGTTTTTCACTGGCAACGAATGATTGGACAAATGTTTGGCCTTCTTTTCGAGGACTGAGATAGGTTGTGGAACGAGACAGTCATGTGACTTATATTTGGACTTCTAAATGATTAACAGAAAGACGCTTAAATTGACAAATCGATAACTTAGTTGACTCACCAGAAAGTGTATTTATGTAGAACGACCTTGGTTTCTACTATTATATTCTTGTTTCATGTTTTCTCATTTAAATGTAAGCGCGCCGCTATATGAATAATTCAATCATCTTTTTTGTTTGATAAAGGGTATTGTACAGAGTCTATAGTTTTAAGCTTGTAATTTTCATCATTACGTTTTGAAATTCAGCAACGTGCGAGCAAGTTAATGTGAAATGTACTTTCTGTTTACTTCGTACATTTTTTTGACGCATTTTAAAGGCAGCTGAAAGGTTTGGAACTGACCGCGGTAAGTTTATGTTAAATTATGAAACGGCCTTCGATATTTGCCAATAGTTGGCAGAAGTAGATTACCCAATTCTACATGCGGGGGCTGCGCTCTATTCCGCCTCGCCCAAGTTGTATGAGGCTCACCACTTTGAGGGAAGGAACAGAGACAGCCCCAACTGAGAGATCGATTATCGATTATGCTCTGACACTGTTACGCAGAAAATTCACACGGTATACGTTTTTCACGTGTATTAATCATCGATGAAACATGGCATTACAATCCTTTTTTTAATCGCATCGCTCGATTCAAACGCACTTTAATTTTTTGTTTTGTTTACGTCACATGACGTCTTCCAGGATGACCAGTCATCTCCTCCGCGAACACCTGACTATTAATATCAATTCGTCATGGAAACAACGGAATTACACTACTTAAAACATATAGAGCCAAATTTTTGTTTGTACCGTAAGTAATGATGGTAAATACTTGTTTTAGTATCTACCACAGGCTGTGTTTTCACTAGGACAAGTTTGACTAGTTAAAGTCGGAAAAGTCCGGAAGTTCACTGAAAACAGCTTGTCCTAAGTTAAGCGAGTTAAAAATGCAAGCTGTTTTCACATGAAAAAACAAGAGACTATCTCGCCTTTATGACCGGAAATTC